ATATTTTGAGTAATATGCCTTGCGAATAGCATAAATGGGAGAAGGTATAATAATTTAATAACAGTTAAAAAAAAATTTATTATCGTGTATGGAAATATCGTGAATAAAAATATAAATAATACATTTAGAATTAAAAAAGTTTAATTAAATAAGAAGTTCATAGAAATCTTCTTAGATAGGCAATACTGCAACGATAACTGATAAGATTGAGATATTTTCAACTAGACGAACAGTTTAATTTAATGCATCTTTAATATGAGATACGATCTTGACATATTCCAGCAATTATAAAACTAACTAATTATTATAAATTATTTTATTTAGTTACTTATTGTAATTAAGTTATAATTTTTATTAATTGACATAAGTTTATCTAATTAAATTTTTAATTAATTGTTTAAATAATTGCATTTAAAATCAGAAATAAATTTTTATTTAAAATAAATTTTTCTCCAATTCATCTTTCTAGATACTTTTTAATGAAAAACAAAACGTATTACAATTATTTTTATAAATTATACTTGCCTATAATTTGAATTCTTTAAAGTAGGTTAAGTAAAATTTAAATAAATTTTCTTTTATCCACAAAATTCAAATAAATTCAAAAGACCAAACCGTCTTCTCCGTTATATATTCTGTATGCAGGAAAGGATATGCATACAAATTCGTGAACGTGAGTGCATAAAACCATCGTTTTATATCATGCACATACAGAGAATGGAGAGAAAATAAATATGCGAATCATGAAGAAATCAAAAATTTGAGAAAAAGATAAATCTATAATATAATCTATATAATCTATAATATAATCTATATATATATATATCAATCAATTAAATTTGATCTCAATTAAATTAAAATAATCTTGCATTCAATATGATGCATCTATTATATAAAATTATATTTTAAAATTATATTTTAAAATTATATATCATTACTTTTACGCATTACTGAAACTACACACATGTTCGAGAATATATGTGTAATACGAATGATGTATAATGTATGTGAACGATATATATGTAAAATCCTTCTAAATTATTATCTCATGCAGATTGAAAATTGAATAAGAATTTCTACTGTTAGTCATTAATCGCTTTCGACTTTCGCTTATATAAAACAGATAATTCATTGAGATCAGAAACGATAGAGAGAGTAACAGTTAGTCGATCACGTCTAAAAAAGTGAAAGCATATTACTCATCAAAAAATGATAGCAATATTTCAAAAATAAAAAATGGTCCCTTAATTATTGATAAATTTTCTGCTAAAAGAAATATATACATATCTAAACACGCAATATTGATTTTGTTTTAACTTTTATATAAAATTTATATTAAGTATTTTTTATGTCGTCCATAAACACGATAAAAACATATGTAATACATATTTCATTATAAGTCTAAGTTTAAGATTAATAAACCTGTTAATGGAAATTTTAAGTATATTGACATAAATTGATGAAACAAATCATAAGTATGTATAAATATCGCAAATATATTACATTTAAGATAATGCTTAACTTTTTAAATAAATAATACATACACATAAAGTTACAAGAAATGCTAAATGTATATATATATTAGATGTAGTAAAAAGAAATCCATTATTTTTGTATGAAATTGAATGGAAAAATAATGGATTTCTTTTTATTACACCTAATACATATATTGTATAAAATGAAGACGAAACTTATTAGATTTTTGTCTCTGAATAAAATTCTTTTTCTCTCTTTCTTATTTTCATCCCTTTTTCTTCCTTCCTTTCTTTTTTTCTACACAATCGATGCATAATTTATATTTAAAATACTTTAGACAGTTGTTGCTAGTTTCACAATGTTTGGAAAATTAATAGCTGAGAATTACAAATCGCTCTAACTACAGAAACTGGAAATGCCAACTATGATATTTCACGATATGCGCTTGCAGATCGCATCAAATACTTAATTCTACCGATTGATATTAAAGGCCAACTGTTTTTAAACACAACTCAATAAATACATCATGTTTCATTGGAAATGTCACGTGCGTGGACAAAGCAAATTATCGCGATTAACAACTGTTTCTTATTAGAAAAAGAGTCTTCTGCATAAAGATAACATATATGATAACTAACAATAAATGTAGTTCACGCGAATTTACATAAATAATTATAGCTTTATAAATAAACATTGAAAAATACTATCTATGCATATGAAACATGCATACTTTTAAATTTTTATTAATCATAATAAAAATTTAAATACTTTTATTGTCATTAGAATCATTGATGACGTAATACGATATCACTAGTTCCTGTGTGGACGGAATAATATTTTCTTCGATTTCAATTCTAACTTCTATAATTGTTTCATTATTTATTTTTATCCACTATCACCATTATTCCTTTTTTTCATTGAATAAATTATCTTAAAAAATAATAATTTTTTTTAAAACTCAAATGTTATTATTGAAAACATTCTTTACTCTTTTGTGTATTATATTAAATATATTTTATGAAGAAAATTGAATAAAGTTTTATAAAAGAAGTTAAAAAAGTTTTACACATATACATAAATTCGATTTTTTGCAAATAATAAAAAACAATTATTTTTCAGGTGATTGCTACTTCCATGTCGCAACTCACTCAGGAATTAACAAGCACCAATCGAGATAGCGGAGTGATTTTAAACATCAGCGATGAACAAAAAATTCAGTACTTAAGCCAAAACTTTGAAGCAGGCAAGTCCAAAAGTCTTAAAGATAGTGAAAGAAATATAGATAATAAAGAATTTGACACATAAATAAAGTGAGTCCATAATTTTAATATGTTCCATTTTTAATATAAAATGCTATCTAAAATGAGACGTAAAAATTATAGGTTTCACTTTTTCTTATGGTCAAAATTTAGATATAACAAGTTGCAATTACAATTGATTATTGTACTTTACAGATGCATACAAATATGGTTACGATGTTAATCCAGATGGACAATTTCATCATGAAATACGTGGCCTACATGGGATTACCTATGGATGTTACGGCTACGTTGATCCCTTTGGCCACCTAAAAACAACGTTTTATATCAGTGACGGATGGGGTTATCGCGTTGTTCAACCAGGGAAGGACGTGGAACTTTTCCTTCACAAGCATGAACATCACGAAAACGAAGGCAAACATGATCATCACGAGCATCATGGTCTGATTACATCATGGCGAGAATTACATTTCCCCATGGTGTGTGCGCAATACACGAACATTCCACCAAGTGAAGGAAGTATGTAAATAAAGATATACCATATGTAATCTGACAGTAAAGTTTCAGGTCTGCAGAAATAAAAAAAATACAAATATCTCATAACAAACATTATATTGTATTTTTTAAATTAAAGTCGTTCCCCATAATGTCAACACATTTAATATATCTATTAGATATTCGAAACTTTTTTTAAAATCTATAATTGCAATTCTGTTTAGTGCAGTCATTCCTTTAAAAAATCCTCGATGTTTTGAAAATATTTATCTTTCAAAATATTTTAGAGCTTTTGGGAATAGCATTCCAAATTTCAAAAAAAGGTTTACGGTTTGTATCAAAGATGTAAAATGCATGCATGTTATGAAGAATTACTTTAAAGTTTAAAAGATAAAAAATAATATTAAAAGAGTTCTATTGTATAAAATAAATTTATTTTTTTTTAAAGATAAAATACAACACTTTATTATGTGTAATATCTGTGTTTCTTTACTATAGTTGGGAACTTTATTGTCAAGTTATGTATATTATACATAAAAACTGCAAATGAATGTATTATTAAAATAAATATCACCTGAAATTTTAAGCAGCACCTATTGGAAGCGGATCAATAATTCAAGCAAAGCCAACTCGACCTCCTTATAGGCCTAACTCATCAGGTATAAAAATTTTAGATACTATATTATATATAATATTAGTAACAATGTATTTAAAATTACATCATAAAACATATATATAGAGCAATATTATATATAAAATTAATTACATTATTAATAAACTTCATAATGTATTAGAGAGTAAAAGATGTATTAAAAATTAAAAAAAAGAGTAACATTTGATACTGTATTTTTTTCATAAAAATCATTACAATTAGACGATAACAGAAATAATACTAAAACTTTGACTGTCAGATTGAATGTTGAAGCATCAAATAAGAAGATACCCCTACATTTAATATTATTATTAATTAAGAAATCTTATCAATGTAGATAAAATAGAAATATATAAAATATGTTTTTATAGATCGTAATTGTCGACATAAACAATTAAGAGTAAAAAAAGTAAACAAATGATAATCAGGCAATTGGAAATTGGCGCTGGAACTGGAGGTTGTTTTTCTTATTTTTGCACTGAAAATTCATTTTTATGTAAAAATGAAAATAATAGAAATCTCCAATGAGCTTAATAATCCTGAACAACATTAAAGAGGTTTTAGCCGTCGGTCAGATATTTTAGTCAAATATAATACTAATGTCGACAGTATTGTAACTATTAAGCCTTAAAACTCGCAAAGTACTTAATAAAAATGAACTTAATTATAATGTTTTGGAAAGCTCTCGAGATAAGCTATAAGAAAATGTAATGAAAATTTGAGGATTCCGTTTAAAAAAGTCAAAGACCTTGCTCTGACCTTAATAACGCCATATAAGATCAAACCAATGATACCATCTTATGTCTCTCTTGAAACCATACAACTTTTGTTTGAAATTCTTTTGTATCTTCCATATTTTTCGAGATATTTGCCTAGGATGATTAAAATGAAACACACTATATGTACAATTGAGTATATAAAATAGAGAGAGAAATAATATTATGCAAAATATAATATTTAAATAATATTATGTATAATAATATATATATATAATTGAAACGAAAATACTCATATTCATTTCTTCACTATGCATGTCATTTAAAAACTATTTGTTTAGGATCATTGTGAAAATTCTGCAAACAATGATTATCAAAACAACAAATTTCAAAAATATATAACATACTACAGGAAATGGAAAGTTATTTTTTAAAATAAGTTACAATTATTCGTTACCGAATAGAAAAAAAAACAAGTTATTATTACTAGTTATTGATTTTTAAAATTAATTCGATACGTAAGAAAGTAAGTTTTCGTTATTTTCTTAATACTTTTTTAAAATCAACGATCGCCAATTACAGCGGACGGACATATAGGGGCTTTCTAGTCTCAAATGTTATGAGTAGCTTGTGTTCAATCGTATCATGTGCAAAGTAATGATAACAGCAACTGTAAAATTCATTATCGTTACCGAAAAAATATAACTTTGTCACAGTTATCAAAGAAAAAAAATGACGCAGTTATCAATAAAATTAACAAAAAAAAAATAAATTGTAACTATATATCATTATAAGTAACAAGTTATTTTCATTCCCTGACATACTATCAAAAAAGAGCCTTGACACATACTTTATAGACAATCCCTTTAATAATCAACTCTTCAATAATAATTTTAATTATTTCAATACATTATAATTATCATTTCCAGGACATCCGGGCATTCCCGGTATTCCAAGTACACCAGGAAAACCAGGAACGCCGTCATATCCAGGGCATCCAGGGACTCCTGGCATCCCTGGTACTCCAGGGATACCGTCATATCCAGGGCATCCAGGGACTCCTGGCATTCCTGGTACTTCAGGGACACCTGGAATTCCAGGGACACCGTCATATCCAGGGCATCCAGGGACTCCTGGCATCCCTGGTATTCCAAGTACATCAGGAAAACCAGGAACACCGTCATATCCAGGGACTCCAGGCATCCCTGGAACTCCAGGAATACCAGAAAAACCAGGGATACCGTCTTATCCAGGGCATCCGGGAATTCCTGGCATACCCGATATTTCAAGTACACCAGGAAAACCAGGAACGCCATCATATCCAGGGCATCCAGGGACTCCTAGCATCCCTGGTATTCCAGGGACACCTGGAATTCCAGGGACACCGTCATATCCAGGACATCCAGGGATTCCTGGCATCCCTGGTACTCCAGGAACACCCGGTATTCCAAGTACACCAGGAAAACCAGGAACACCGTCATATCCAGGGCATCCAGGGATTCCTGGCATCCCTGGTACTCCAGGAACACCCGGTATTCCAAGTACACCAGGAAAACCAGGAACACCGTCATATCCAGGGCATCCAGGGACTCCTGGCATCCCTGGTATGCCAAGTACACCAGGAAAACCAGGAACGCCGTCATATCCAGGGATTCCTGGCATCCCTGGTACTCCAGGAATTCCAGGAAAACCAGGGATACCGTCATATCCAGGACATCCAGGGATTCCTGGCATCCCTAGTACTCCAGGAACACCCGGTATTCCAAGTACACCAGGAAAACCAGGAACGCCATCATATCCAGGGACTCCTGGCACCCCTGGTACTCCAGGGACACCTGGCATTCCAGGGACACCGTCATATCCAGAGCATCCAGGGACTCCTAGCATCCCTGGTATTCCAAGTACACCAGGAAAACCAGGAAAACCGTCATATCCAGGGCATCCAGGGACTCCTGGCACCCCTGGTATGCCAAGTACACCAGGAAAACCAGGAACGCCGTCATATCCAGGGATTCCTGGCATCCCTGGTACTCCAGGAATTCCAGAAAAACCAGGGATACCGTCATATCCAGGACATCCAGGAATTCCTGGCATCCCTGGTACTCCAGGAACACCCGGCATTCCAAGTATACCAGGAAAACCAGGAACACCGTCATATCCAGGGCATCCAGGGACTCCTGGCATCCCTGGTATGCCAAGTACATCAGGAAAACCAGGAACGCCGTCATATCCAGGGTTTCCTGGCATCCCTGGTACCCCAGGAATACCAGGAAAACCAGGGATACCGTCATATCCAGGACATGCAGGGATTCCTGGCATCTCTGGTACTCCAGGAACACCCGGTATTCCAAGTACACCAGGAAAACCAGGAACGCCATCATATCCAGGGCATCCAGGGACTCCTGGCATCCCTGGTACTCCAGGAATACCAGTAAAACCAGGGATACCGTCTTATCCAGGGCATCCGGGAATTCCTGGCATACCCGGTATTCCAAGTACACCAGGAAAACCAGGAACGCCGTCATATCCAGGGACTCCTGGCATCCCTGGTACTCCAGGAATACCAGTAAAACCAGGGATACCGTCTTATCCAGGGCATCCGGGAATTCCTGGCATACCCGGTATTCCAAGTACACCAGGAAAACCAGGAACGCCGTCATATCCAGGGATTCCTGGCATCCCTGGTACTCCAGGAACACCCGGTATTCCAAGTACACCAGGAAAACCAGGAACGCCGTCATATCCAGGGATTCCTGGCATCCCTGGTACTCCAGGAACACCCGGTATTCCAAGTACACCAGGAAAACCAGGAACGCCGTCATATCCAGGGATTCCTGGCATCCCTGGTACTCCAGGAACACCCGGTATTCCAAGTACACCAGGAAAACCAGGAACGCCGTCATATCCAGGGATTCCTGGCATCCCTGGTACTCCAGGAACACCCGGTATTCCAAGTACACCAGGAAAACCAGGAACGCCGTCATATCCAGGGATTCCTGGCATCCCTGGTACTCCAGGAACACCCGGTATTCCAAGTACACCAGGAAAACCAGGAACGCCGTCATATCCAGGGATTCCTGGCATCCCTGGTACTCCAGGAACACCCGGTATTCCAAGTACACCAGGAAAACCAGGAACGCCATCATATCCAGGGCATCCAGGAACTCCTGGCATCCCTGGTACTCCAGGGACACCTGGAATTCCAGGGACATCGTCATATCCAGGACATCCAGAGATTCCTGGCATCCCTGGTACTCCAGGAACACCCGGTATTCCAAGTACACCAGGAAAACCAGGAACGCCATCATATCCAGGGCATCCAGGAACTCCTGGCATCCCTGGTACTCCAGGGACACCTGGAATTCCAGGGACACCGTCATATCCAGGACATCCAGGGATTCCTGGCATCCCTGGTACTCCAGGAATACCAGGAAAACCAGGGATACCGTCATATCCAGGACATGCAGGGATTCCTGGCATCCCTGGTACTCCAGGAACACCCGGTATTCCAAGTACACCAGGAAAACCAGGAACGCCATCATATCCAGGGCATCCAGGGACACCTGGAATTCCAGGGACACCGTCATATCCAGGACATCCAGGGATTCCTGGCATCCCTGGTACTCCAGGGACACCTGGAATTCCAGGGACACCGTCATATCCAGGACATCCAGGGATTCCTAGCATCCCTAGTATTCCAAGTACACCAGGAAAACCAGGAACGCCGTCATATCCAGGGCATCCAGGGACACCTGGAATTCCAGGGACACCGTCATATCCAGGACATCCAGGGATTCCTGGCATCCCTGGTACTCCAGGAACACCCGGTATTATTCCTGGCGTACCCAAACCAGGAACGCCGTCATATCCAGGGCATCCAGGGACTCCTGGCATCTCTGGTACTCCAGTGACACCTGGAATTCCAGGGACGTCGTCGTATCCAGGACATCCAGGGATTCCTGGCATCCCTGGTATTCCAAGTATACCAGGAAAACCAGGAACACCGTCATATCCAGGGCATCCGGGTATTCCTGGCGTACCCGGTATTCCAAGTACACCAGGATCATCGTCATATCCAGGACATCCGGGCGTTCCTGCCATCCCTGGTACTCCAGCGATACCTGGAATTCCAGGGACACCGTCATATCCAGGGCATCCAGGGACTTCTGGCATCCCTGGTACTCCAGGAACACCCGGTATTCCAAGTACACCAGGAAAACCAGGAACGCCATCATATCCAGGTCATCCAGGGACTCCTAGCATCCCTGGTACTCCTGGAATTCCAGGCATACCAGGAAAACCAGGAACACCATCATATCCAGGGCATCCAGGGACTCCTGGAATCTCTGGTACTCTAGGGACACCTGGAATTCCAGGAACGCCATCATATCCAGGATATCAAGGAGCTCCAGGCATTCATGCTATTCCAGGGACACCAGGAAAACCAGGAACGCCGTCATATCCAGGACATCTGGGTATTCCTGGCATATCCGGTATCCCAAGTACACCAGGAAAACCAGGAAAACCAGGACCGTCATATCCAGGACATCCGGGTATTCCTGGCGTACCCGGTATTCCAAGCACACAAGGAAAACCAGGAACGCCGTCATATCCAGGACATCCGGGTATTCCTGGCATAGCCGGTATTTCAAGTACACCAGGAAAACCAGGGTCTCCTAGCATCCCTGGTTCTCCAGGAACATCAGGAAAACCAGGAATACCGTCATATCCAGGTTATCCGGGTATTCCTGGCATATCCGGTATTCCAAGTACACCAGGAAAACCAGGAACGCCGTCATATCCAGGACATCTAGAGATTCCTGACATTCATGGTACTTCAGCAACACCCGAAATTCCAAGCAGACCAGGAAAACCATTATATCCAGGAACTCCTAGTATTCCTGGTACTCCAGGCACGCCAGGAAAGCCAGGAATACCGTCATATCCAGGGTATCCAGGAACTCTTGGAATTCCTGGTACTCCAGGGATACCTGGGATTTCAGGCATACCAGGAAAACCATCATATCCAGGTCATCCAGGAACTTCTGGAACACCTGCTATCGCAGGCATACCAGGAAAACCAGTAACATCACCGTATCCAGAGACTCCAGACTTATCCGATGTACCAGAAACACCAAGCACGTCGCAATATCCTGGTCACGCGGGTACATCTGATATTTCTAGTTCATTAGAAACATCTGGATTACTTCCACATCCAGGTTATTTGGGCACACCTGGTATTTCTGAAATAATCGGAATATCAGAAATACCAATAACGTCATTACATCCCGGCGAACATACAGGGATTTCTAACATTCATGGCACAATCGAAATTTCAGGGTCACCTGGAAAGCCAGAAATTTTGTTGTATCCCGAACATCCTGGAACTTCTAACGTTGCTGGCATTTCCAGCATATCAGGAAAACCAGACAAACCAGGAACGCCGTTATATCCTGGATATCCAGGAACTCTTGGTTTAACTGGAATTTCAAGCATTCCAGGAAAACCAGCAGCACCATCATATCCAGGATATCCTAGCATCCCTGGTACTCCAGGCATACTTGGGATACCAGGAACACCAGGACGACCAGGAATGCCATCGTATCCTGGACCTCTAGGAACTCCAGACATTCCCGGAATAGTCGAATTATACCCAACGTATCCTGGTATATCAGGAATTCCGGGAATACAAGGAAAACCGGGAACATCATATCCAGGACACATAGGAATTAGTATCGCTAGCACATCTGGCACTCTCGGTATATCAGAAATATCAGAAAATCTAGAAAAACCAATATCATCATATCCTGGATTGTCTATTTATCCTGTTACATCAGAAACACCTAATGTACCTTTACAATCTGAGTCACTAGGTAAACCAGATGATTTATTATATCCCGGGATTACTACTATACCAAATAGACCAAGCATTTCTTTCAAGCCGAGTAAACCAGGTATTAAGATTATTTAATTATTATAATTATAAAAATATTATTCTTGTCAAACATTAGTTCTTGTATAAGATTTGAATATATAATAATAATTTATTCATTATTGTTCTGATTACATCCATGTAGGTTATCCGAGTTATCCTACGTATCCAGAATATATAGAAGATTCAAAGAATCCAGAAGGGCCAATAGGACCTGAGGGTCCAGTGGGAAGTGTAGGTCCGATTGGTGGCATTGGAGGTATCGGTGACGTTGGTCCTGATGGTCCTGACGGACCATGGCCAACCGGTTCCCCGGGTCCTAATGGACCATGGCCTGGTGATCCAGATTATATACCCGGAATAAAACCAACAAGAAAACCTTCGCATAAAAGTTCAATAAATTATCCTACCACTGAGTCATTTGACACAGACAGATATAACTCCATCTCGAAATATAGTTTTAATAATAAAACTGATTCTTCACATACGGGCTATACTCTAAAGGATATCAAATTATCGAAATTGTCACATCCAACAAAAGTTAATACATCTTTATATATAAAGCATAGACCTCAATACGGAACTCAATCCACATCGTCAATCTATGGGGAAAAAGAAACTATCTACAACGCAAATAAAATCAATTCATTGTTGCAAACAGATCTGACACCGTCATCATTGAAATATGAGACCGAAGATCAATATACAGATGTGTTAAAACCGAATTCACAATTTTATGATCACTTGATACATACAGGATCACAACAAATAAAGAAACCTCCGAAAAATAACTTGAAGCAATTTTCTGTGCACGATCGAGATCAGTATCAAAAATCAATATTTTATCCATTTTCTAACTCACAACAGCAAAAGCCTCCTAAAGGCTTAGATCAATCTGATAAATTAAAACAACAAGAAGACAAATTTAATGTGGATGGACAATATAATAATTCTGCCGATGCGGATGACAAATTGATTTCTAACGTGTCCTTTCAATCGGATGGACCTTCCTCTGCTCCGAACAGACAGGTAAATGCACGCCTTGAGCAGACATTCCGGGTGAATCCCGTTCTCGACAGTATACGGGTTCAGCCGCCCAGCTCCATCAACGTCAAGCCCTTATCGTTACCTGTAGGGCCAAATTCACAAGCATGTCCCTGTTACTTAGTCGAGCCGAATAACAACACAAACGTAGCAACCAGCTCGACTCTCACCTCTATCATTGGGCAATTGGGATTCATTCCTGTTATCTTCGTACCATACTGTCCTGGCAAAGAGGTGGACAGCAATAAGATGAAACTTATGTTCCCGTCCGCTACTCCTGTTCCATATGCATGCGACACATGTGATACACAAGACAACAAATTTGTTGTAAAAACGCTCGATATAAATCAACTTGGCAATATTGATTATCTTAAAGAGGCATTATATCAATCCAATCTTGGCTTTTTGAATGTTCCAGTTAAGACCAACATCGAGCGAAGAAGAAAGGCGAAATGAAGAGTGTAACACTAACTTATTAAGCTTAAGTTGTGATCGTTCTAAAAAGAGCTTATTTTCTGCTAGAGAATAGAAATAAATATAGGATATTGGCATTGCCTGTCCGTCAGCTGCTGGTTAGTTGATGGATAGCCAAACTAAAGATATTTGCCGAAATAATCAATAAAAATAACCAAAGCTAATAGAATATATAAAACCTTCAAACTAAAAATTGAATTAATAACAAATTTTTCTAGTATCATTTTTATTAAATTAATTTATCCTGTAGCTGCTTAAAGGACAGACAGATAATTAATTTTCTGCTAATATTTGATTAATTAAAGAAATTTGAAATAAAAATATCTACAAAAACATATTTTTTGTAGATATAATTTTCATTAACATTATTGCTTTTGAATTCTGTACATATTGCATAATTTTTTATTATTTAAATTATTTAAAATATATGCTATCCTACATTATTTATAAAAATGACAATTTTCTAAGTTGATAAAAATTATAAAACTTATATTAAATTCATTACGATTATTTATTCAATATTTAGTTTGATGTAAAACTAAGAAAGATTTTTGTAGATGCTATTTAAAAATTCTCTCTCTCTCTCTCTCTCTCTCTA